CCACCTGAGACCACACCCAGACATGAGACCACACCCAGACATGAGACCACACTCACAGCAGAAAACCTTAGACCACCAGTCGACAGATACAATGATTTGAAAAGTCTTACCACTTTACTTTAAGGCTGTGTTTAATTATGTTATGAATGTAATGGTTGCTTCATTGCCTCCTGATGGATACTTCTCTCCAGTTTTGAGTCTTGCCCTTAGTTTCTGTCTTTAAAATGGCGGTAGTAAGAGAACAGAACACATTTTGAACCTGGAATCCCTTTTTTACACCGCTTGACTTTCACCGTCGTAAAGTATAAGAGAGAGACCAGGTCGCTACAGCTACAGTCTGATCAGCTGTGACGCATCAGGCACAGAAACACAGGGAGTGGTCACATGGTTCTTTCTCTAATCTGCTGTTCGGGAATCAACAACATTGTAAAGTCTTCCAAGGGCTTGACAAAACAAACTTGAATTGAATTGTGGCAGTAAAGGGGAAGCATGTGATGTTGAATTTAGTTTCAGAAACATTTTTAAAATTAGTTTTGTTACTATTATATTATCGTTTCTGTCGTATTGTATTAAAGGTTTTTGTACAGGATTAGAATGATGCTAAAACTACAGAAAGAAAAACGTCAACCATAAAAACAGAAACTATAAAACTCAGTACAGATTTTAGTGGAATAAAAATAAAGTTTCACTGGTTCTAAAGGAAATCTTTTGAAATGTACTGCCATATTATGAATACACATTTTAGGATTGTAATTAAACTGGAAGAATAAACATTTTTGGAGAAAAAAAACCGTTATATCTGTTTTAGCAAGTGATGGTGATGGTGACGATGATGACGGTGACGATGATGACGATGACGATGATGATGATGATAGAGTATTTTATATCACTGCTTTAAAGTATTTTACATTGTGGTCATAGTTGATACTTCCTCTTCTGGCTCAGGGTCACAAAGTCAATCTTAATATGGTTCACAGCCTCAGAACCACACCACGGTTCATAATTCAATCTTTTCATAAAAATATTGGATTATGCTTTCACATGAGCTTAACAGCATTTGGACATTTTGTAAACAGAATTATTTCATTAAAAGTTTTATGAAATTAAGAATTGTCAAAATAACTGAAATAAGTTGAAAAATATTTACTGTAGATGAACACAATTATTTATCTTTAGAATGAATGAGTTTCCAGCCATTAACCCCAAGTTATTTCAATTTGACAGGGTTTTATAACAGGGGCTCGACACTATGGATATGTTTGTGGTAAATGTCTTCTTTCTTGCATGGGTTTTTAATGAGTAACATTAGTCTGTGATGATCCGGGTCTCAAACAAGACCAGACCAGATTCAAGCTGAGTATAAACACAGACAAAACCTGGACTATGCTAAACTAAAGCTAATGTTCTCTATTTTCCAAAGTAGTAAAGTGTCAATAGTAAATCCTGTTGTTCTGCGTCACATGATCTTGTATAGTATTGTCATTTATCTGGAGAAAAACAAATGTTGGACACATTATTCCCATTGATACAGTTCATATAAAACAGCAAAACCTTTCCAGTGAGACCTGACTTTAACATGGAACATCCCAAAGAGGCTCCGGGTGAACTGCAAAGCTTTTAAAGGGGCCGTATGTAATATTTCAAACGTAAATTACATCTATATATTTATATACGTACATCTGGAACAAGCTGCCCGCTGATATGCGAGTGCTCAATGATTTTGGCACTTCCGTTTTATTGTTTGACTGCATTAATGTTTGAATGGATTTTGTTGTAAAGCACTTTGGTCGCCTTGAGAGTCGTAAAGGGCTCTATAAAAATAAATTGATGGATTGATATATGCCCCCAGATCACAAGTCACATGTACAGACCATATTTAACCTTTTCTGAGCAAAAGTTTCAAGTGGAGTAATTCTTATTTCAAAATAGAATATATATTTTTTATAATATTTATGTTTACAGATCATCCAATCAGAGAACAGAATGAGGCAGGAAGATTCTGGCAATAAAAAGTGTGATTGTGACTGTATTAACTATGTTAGACCACTGGTAGTGCATTCTGCCTCTTTAGATTAGTCAAGAAGGCCAATTAAACGCATTTAGAAACTTGGGATTTTGTACAAACATAATTTAAGATAGAATAAGTAGCACAGTCATAACGTCATGTTGGAAAGGCCTGGACAAAATTAGATGGCGACAATATAATCTTTGACGTTCCTTGACCCGTTGCCTTTCCGTGATAACACAAAGCAGCAGACTCCACGGTGATCCGGCTGAGTGCTGGACCTGAAGCTGGGGAGATTGGGTTGGTTTTGTCAGAGGGGTGCAGTGGAGGGGGGGTGGCCCTGTCCTGGAATAGCTGCCCCGGCCTGGTATGCTCTGGGGAATGTGCGGCGAGCCCTTTGATTGGTCGGGGACGGGAAGTGTGTTGCGGTTGGGTTAGCGTTAGCGATTAGCAGGAATCTATGTCAGGACAGAGGGGCTGTGGTCAGAGCTGGGGTCAGACGGGGCCCGGCGCAGTCCTCAAGGGCCACGGCTTTGTCACATTCAATTCAATTCAATGTATTCGTGTATAGCCCTTAATCACAAAAGTAGTTATCTCGGAGGACTTTACGCAAAAAACTTTGAATCGGCCAACTCAGATCAGAGAATCAAACAGTTCAAACACAAGAAATGCAATGATAAGAAATACATATAAAACTATGGACACGTCTTATCTCATTTTGAAGCTCAGAACCGCCTGAAAATCACTAGGCCCGGATTGAAACCAATGCAGACAATAACTTACAATTATAAACTAAATTGGCCATGACAGAAACAGGCAGAGAAAGGGGAGTTTTGACATATTGTAAAAAAAAAAAATAAAAAATAAAAAAATAAAAAATTCACTGTTGGACTTTTAAATTCAGAGCCTTGTCAGTGGAGGTGATTGGGATTTTCCCTTCAGTGTATGTGTGTTGTGTCCGTGTATGCCTGTGTGTTTGTGTGTGTGTTCGTGTGTGCCTGTGTCTGCTTGTGTCTGCGTGTGTGTCCGTGTATGCCTGTGTGTTTGTGTGTGTGTTCGTGTGTGCCTGTGTGTGTGTGTGTGTGTGTCTGTGTGTGCCTGTGTGTACCTGTGGTGTGTCTGTGTGTGTGTGTACCTGTGGTGTGTCTGTGTGTGTGTGTCCGTGTGTGTGTGTACTAGTGCTTGTGTGCAGGGTCAGGGGCTATCTGACCATGAGCGAGGCAAGAGTCCAGAAAACATGTAAACATGAGTTGGGAAATGTGGAACTTTGACCTGATCGTTCACAGATGTAAACAGAACATAAATATAAAATAAAAAAGTATATTTTGGATGTTTAAAATGTCTCCAAGGATATTAACTGTAAACACAATGTGGTTTAGTCTGTTCTGTTGATATTGATTTAATTAGTGAAAAGTTACAAAGCCACTAATAACTAAGAAAGTGGATTGAGTCCTGCTCTAGTCCTGCCATAGTCCTGGATCTTAAGTTCTTGTTGAATACTCCTTTAGCTGTGGTTTAGTCCTGGTTTAGTCCTGGATGAGACCATCTTTAGTCCTAGTTGTATCTTACTTTAGTCCTGGTCGAGTCCTGCTTCAGCCCTGCTTTAGTCCTTGTTGAGACCTGCTTTTGTCCTGGTTGAGTCCTGGTTTAGGGTGTATTCAGACCTGAAAAGTCCTTTGCTCCGCTTGTTTGATCCGAATCAAAAGCGGACCAAACTTTTTTCTTTTGCTCCGGTTCGTATTCAGACTGTCCTTTTTGCAAGTGAACTTTTTTATATAAACATATTGACACGTGTGACGATCGGCGCTCCTATTGGACAGAGAGAGCTCACGGAGGATAGACGCGGAACCGGCGGAAAACATTGAGCTCGTATGTGCAGCATGTCTGCTCTGCCTATGTTTTCTCTTTTTAGAGCAAAACCACCTTCAACATCAACAGCACCAGCTCATGACACAAGCGAAACGCACTGTTTTAAATATTGGACCAGCGTCGGAGAATGCGTGAGGAGAAAGCCGAAGGAGACTGTCTGTGCTCTCCGTGCCCTGTCCCACACATGGATCTATGATAATAACGGCCCTGTTCAGCATTGTGGATAAACCATGGATCTATAATAACCACGGGACAAACAGACGCTGAGGATAAGGTAGGAACCAAAGAACACAATTCACTACATGATGCGGAATATTGCTCTTTGAGACGTGAGTCAAACAGTGTCAGGCTTTTAATAATGCAAATGATTTTAAGATGCTGCCATTAACATCACTGTATACTGTGAACAGTTGTAACTCCATAAGCCTGTTCCACAGCGTCTACTCACTGCTCCAGGTCTGCCCACGGCTCAGTGTTGTTGTGTAGCGTTAGCAGCATAGTTAGCAGCATAGTTAGCCGCTGCGTGGCTAATTCCTCAGTTTCTGTCTGCGGCTTGTTAAGCCCAAAAAATGCGCACGTATCTTGGAGTTGTGTTGGATCGACACCGGATGTATTCAGACCTGATTCGACTTGGACCAGAATTTGTTTGGAAACGGACCGAGACCACCTAAAAAAGTGGGTCTCGGGTCGGTCATTTGGTCCGGACCAGGATTCGTTTGTGTGTATTCAGACCTGCATAAAAGCTTCGGATCAGAGTTCCAAACAAATCCTGGTCCGTTTAAAGTGGAGCAAATGTGCAGGTCTGAATACACCCTTAGTCTTGGTCGAGTCCTGCTTTAGTCCAGGTCAAGTCCTGCTTTAGTCTTGCTTTAGTCCTCCTTTAGTCCTGGTCAAGTCTTGCTTTAGTCCTGGTCGACTTTAGTCCTGATTGAGTCCTGCTTTAGTCCTGATTTAGTCCTGCTTTAGCCCTGCTTCCGTCCTGCTTCCGTCCTGCTTCAGTCCTGCTTCAGTCCTGCTTCAGTCCTGCTTTGGTCCTGCTTTGGTCCTGGTCGAGTCCGGCTTGAGTCCTGCTATAGTCCTGCTTTAGTCCAGATCCAGCACATGCCAGGAGCAGGACTCCTCCCTGATGCTGTTTGCGCAGCTGGGGCCCTGTGGCGTTCTGTGTTGCCATGTTGAGCTTCTCTGGTGTTTTTCTTCGCAGAGCGGGCGGCTGACGTGTTTCCGCGCAGACTGTCAGAGCCGGGATCAGAGGTGCGGGCGAAGCGGCTTCTTGAGGAAGTCTGACAGTTGAGTGCGAGGCCGTGAGAGAGGAGCGCGAGCTTGTACAGTAGTCATGTAAACAGCGGACAGGGTTTGCTCTGAGTCACAGCTCCTGCCCCATCTCTGACCTCCGCAGGGGTCGACTACACCTGCAGCTGGAACATGGCAACACGCTCCATGTTGTTGTGTTTTTGTTCATGCACGAGGGTCAGGAGCTCATTTAGATTCAAACCAACACTGAGACGTGGAGGTCGCACATCTCCTGCAGGCTGCACGATTTTGGCAAAATATGTAATTGTGGTCTTTCTGACCAACATTGTGAGTGTGAGGTGATTTTAGACCTGTATGATTAAAAGTAATAACTTGAAGACTGTGATATTTGAAAAAGCATGTATATGAAGCCATTACACAATTCCCAAACATTTCAAAAATAGTTTATAGATTTCTGACTTGTCGTACAACCAATTTTTTTCTTGTCCAAATCAGTATTATGTATTATGATGATTATTACTTTAACTATTATTACTATAACTATTTTTGTGTAAAAAGTTGACTCTTTAGGAATGAGAAAAAAATGCTTCCGCCCAAAAGATGAAAGATACTTGTACTATTGACCACTCAACAAAAAAATAATCTAAGGACAAAATGTTCCAAAAGATCAACAGATTTTTTCTTATGTTTAATCCTTTTTTGATAGCATAGAACTTCAATAATTGCAGTCTTTGGGATTAGTTACTTTAGTTACTTTTAGGTTAGTTACTTTTCAAATTGTGAAGATGGGGAAACGTTTTTAAAACACAAGCGCCAGTTAGACCCGCCCCAAAGCTTCCTGATTGGATGCAATTAATTCAAATCCGTGATAGACCGCTAAGGCCACTCCTCATTGGTCTAACTATTCTCCTCCAGAGAATCTTACTGGTGGTGCTTATTCCAAAGAGAGGGACAGTTTTAAATGGGTATCATGAAAAATACTTAACAAAGATGATACTACAGGGTCATGTAGTCAAAAATATATATTATTATCAAATATATAACAGACATCACCTTGAATAGTGCAGTCCTACTTGTGAGTATTTGCGACCATAGATAAACAAAACAAACTAATGTTAACTCTGTCCGCTCATATCTGGAGTGTCCTGTGGGAACACTGACCTGCGAACACACGGAGGCGTTTGCGTCGCGGCGGTGGACCCAGACCGGACGTTCCACTGCACTCGTCTTCATCATCACAGTCTCCGCTGCCGAAGGCCTCGCCCTCCTCCCCCGCCTCCCCCTTGGAGCGAGCTCTCCAGCGCTTCTCCGACAGGCTCACCATCCGCAGCAGCTGTGAAAGGGAAACAAGGTCAGGGAGAGAGCATGTGAAATAACATATTTAGTAGAAAATATATGATGAAACAAACTAAGAAGGGTAATAAATGCTTTCGGCCTGTAACTCCCGATGCTACCACCAGAGGGAGGAGTTGATTATTTCATTTTCATTCCAGAATTTGAAAATGGCCGCAGGCAATTGTAAAGGATTTAATTTCACCTGAGAAATTACTAAAACTAATTCATGGGCACAACCTTAGTTTGAAAAGGTAGAAAACAATGACGTCATACGAGTGAGACAGAAGCTTTTAGACAGAAGGGGCGGAGTTAGCGTAATTTTCACAACAAAACCATAGGCAGCCTCTTAGCATCTCAAATGTGATTGTGTGTGTTTAGTTATTTATGACTCATTTTCTCAACAGGCAAGTCTAAGTATTTACTGTCTGTGTCGGCTGATCTACAAGACTACATTTTAATTCACAATAGCGTTCATGTTGTGCAACTCTGCAGTATTGTAGTTGAAGGACAGGCGCCAATGCAACTCTGAGGGAAAGACACATTTTTTTTAAAGTATACAACAACAAATAAATAAATAAAATGTCCAAAGTTTTTCCCACATCATAATTTGATAGTGATTAGATTCACAAAGCTGCCATAATTTTCATACGTCTTAAAGTCCATACTCAGTTCAATGTCATGCATATTTTTTGTGAATGTTGCACAAATTAATTAGATCAAGTTGCCATGTACTGACAAAGAAGATCTGGAACTTTGTGACAGTTTTTGTTCAAAGTGGAATCACATAGAATTAACAGCTTAGAAATATTACTTTTGACAGTTACCATAGTTACCAGGAAAGATATTTCAGCTGCCCTGTACCTCACTGTTAGACAATATCCTCTTTGGACTGTTGTGATGTCACATGGACTCACTACATATCTGAGCCTGGATTGCCTTCGTGACATCCCGTATCTATCTACCCTTAAAGCAATGGCACTTTAAAATATTCAGTATATTCTATCTACTGCTTGACAACGGACCCTGACCACGCTGCAGAAACAGACGCACTGTCATTTTGAGGTCAGACTGTCCAGTAATGTTTTAGCAAAGCTGTGAAAATAGATGTCTCTGTGTGGACATTGTTATTATGACAAAGTTGGGGAATTTCCAGAATAAAATGCATATAAACAGGCATTACACCGACCGCAGAGGAAACCGTGGTGTTATCTGTGACATTTGTGTTATTTCGGTCCCCTCTGATTCACTGCTTAAGGGCTGTGGGAGCTTTAAGGAGACCGCAGGCAGATTGGGCTGTTACTGGAAAACTTTATATTGTCTCAAAATGTTTCATGGCAACAAAACAAGAAACCGACTCAGTGGAATCAGGAGAAAGCAAGTTATGTTTATGTTCATGTCCAGTTCAAAGATGGAGGATTCCTAAAGCTTTGATATCGAGTTTGGATAGATTGATTATTGCTACTCTTTCCCAGCTTTGTGTTATTACAAATTCTTCCTTTTCTCTCTCTGTGCAATTCAAGTATAAAGTAACTAAACTTAAAGGTTTCTTAGTTGACAGACCTTCTTTCTTCCCCGTTTAGAAGGTTTCTTGTTTTGAAGAATGCTTACATTATTTACATGGTAATCCAATATAGCACAATCATTAATGCAAACTTACTGGCTATAATGCTTAGTAAGTAAGTAATTTATATATATACTGCGCATTTTAACACACCAAGCTCACCCAAAGCACTTGGGTGAGCTTGGTGTTCAGAGATCAGATGTTGTCCCATTCTCTTCTTTTTAGTTTTAGGGGAAACCGGAGCAACACGCAAACTCCACTCAGAAAGGCCCTGTTCAGACCGGGACATAATGGATTTTTTACATGTATTACTGGAAAAACAAGAAAATCCTTTTATTTACACTATGATTCGGTCGATTCAGTAATTTTTGTCAAAGTTGTTGTTTTGCCTACCCCTAAACCCTAACCCATTATATATGTTGTATATGTATGTAACTTTTGTCCAGCACTCGTTTGAAAAAGAGGTTCTTAATCTCAATGGGACTTTCCTGGTTAAATAAAGGTGAAATAAAAAAATAATATAATGTTTTCCTTCGTATAGCCTGAACAAACAGGAACAGAGGAACAGAAGGAAAAAAAATTGACAATTCAAACGTCACCGAGCTAGCCTCAAATAAGTCTGTCTCACTCTCAACAAACTTATTTCAGCTCCCGATAAACCTGTAACTATTTTCATTGTCTTCATATTCTGTAAACATGTTGTCCTTATGATTAAACATTTGAAAGCAATGGCTTAAATCAGGTGGTTTTGATCTAAATTTGAGTACATTCTGATTTTATTCAAACCAATGGGACAAAGCCATTTAGTCTTACTGCATTTTCATTTGAGTTATTTTTTTAGTTATTTTTCATTCCTCTTATGTATTTCTGAATGTATTTATTTCTGAATGAACTTCTCATCCAATCAAAGGCAGATCTGGAGGCCTGGGAACAAAGGCGGTCGGATACTTGTGCTGTTGGTGTGAGGTGAGAGGGTCAGGCTGAAAAACATGGCCGTGTTAAAGTGGAGACAGCCTTCTTGATCTGTCTCACCTCACAGACGGTCGAGAGGCCGACACATGTGTTACATTCTTAAGTGTCCCCCTCTCCCACTCGCCCTCCTCCTCCCCCCCTGCCATACGTGTAATGAGTTCCTTCCCCTGTGCTCACGTCAGCGCCGCCGTTCTGTTGTTTTCGCTTGTTTTGGAGAAGATTAACTTTGGCTTTGTCTCAGATGTCCGTCACAGAGGAAGATGAAAGAGACACAAAGACAAAATATCTATTGATTAAAATCGTCTAATATCGGCAACACATTTCAAAATGACAGCTCATTAGGCACAATCAACTATGAATCAATGTAAAAACAACTATTATTTGGCTCATCATGAAAAGTCCTACAATCATGTTTGAATGAGCTGATTTTTTATCCACTTTACTTTTTGTTTGGTTTCATTATTAGTTTCTTTGTCCCAACAGAAAGAATCTTGTTGAAGAAACATGTTGAACCAAGCAGACCACAACATAATTAATCTGTCTTCATCTTAAAGAACTTGTTATCGTTGACATACTGAGAGCGGATTGGCTGAGGGCTGACACTCTATCTAAAGATGTGACCGAGGCCAAAAATACATGCATGTGAACACTAGTAATAGACCAAAGAGTTTTGAAAGCTAAGAACAAGTTACATGGATTTTATTACATACAGATTTTTTTAGTGCTTTCAAAGTTCTGTACTGCAGCTTTGATGTTTTACCTGTGATCCACAGTTGGTCGCAGTGACATTTGTGCCAAAAAGAGGTCTTCTAATCAATATATTTAAAATGCTCAAATTGCAAAAGAAAAGATTAATTTCTGTTATAGATTTGAATATACATATGCAGACACAATACAGTATGTCTTCATTTATTTGTCTTTTATTTAAAGGAGCAGTATGTACAAATCTGGCCAAAAGTGGTACTGCACTATGACTAAGATTGCCAGATATGCAGACGAATCCAGCTGGGACCAGTAAAACGGTGGAGGGCGGGACATCGAAATGAAAACAATAACAAGTCTTACGGGCTGTAAAACTAATTTAGAATTTCCAATATCTCGGCTGAACTACCGATATCAGTTAAAGGAGTATTCGAAAAGAGCAAGTTTTATGAACGCCTTTTGACAGATTAGGGCCCTTTAATGATTGGCTTGACATGAAAATTTTACATATTGCTACTTTAACTGGGAAAGCTCCACTGAGATTTTAGAATCTCTCTTTCAGGGGAGTCCAGGCCCCAGCAAGAGAGGACCTATTGTACATGTTTTTAGTGGTTGGGGAAAGTGGAGCACCTGGAGGAAACCAACATAGACGTAAACTCCACTCAGAAAGGCTCTGTTCCAATCATTATTTGAACCCAGGACCTTTTTGCTGAGAAGTGAGAATGCTAACCACTCAGCCACTGTGCCGCCCATTAAAGACTATATTGTTCACTGTTGAGGAAGAAGTTTCAGAAAGCTTTAAAGAATCCTAGTCCAGTTTTTACTCTTCAATAGAGGAGCTCGCTGTCCTCCCGCTGAGCACTTCACATGTTTTAAGATGTTTGGTCGGACGGTGTGTGTGCGCTGATGTCGTCTCCAGGAAGTGAGTCACAGCTGAACATGTGTGAAGCAGCGGCGAGGCATAAAAACCGCTTAATGACAATGACATCACTGCGGATTAACAAGAATGTTCCTTCAGCAACATGCGGCGAAGGCTCCAGGTTTGGAGGGAAAAAAACGAAAAGTGAAAGTTTGTGTTCGCTACCTGTAGGGGATTGAGGCCCAAGTATACATCAATAATATGGTTAGAGGCCATAATTTGCATTAAAAGGAGGGTTAACTTATGTCACTTTACCTCATATACTTATTATCCTGCACTATTTAACTGTACAGTATATAACTGCACTACTACTACATGTATATATTTGTTGACTGGTATTGAAGCATTTCCAGAATCTACAGCCAGTTATGCTAGTTAAAAAACATAGCTACTGCTAATTTTGTATATATTGTGTGATCCCTGTGTGCTCTTTCTACGGTCCTGTATGTGCGCTGCAACAACAACATTTCCCCACTGTGGGACGAATAAAGGAACTCTTATCTTATCTTATCTTAGAGGCCATAGTTTACATTAAAAGGAGGGTAAAAGGGCCTAGTTTACAATAAAAAGCGGGTTATAGGCCCTAGTTAAGAAAAGGGTGAGAGGCACTAGTTTTAAATATAAGAGCGTTAGAAGCCCCAGTATTGGTTAAAAAGAGGGTTAGAAGCCCCACACAAGGCACAAGTATATGTTTAAAGCAGGTTTAAAGGCCTTGTAAGAAAAAGAACCATCCCCACCCATTCAATCACACATTACATAAAGTAATAGGAATAGTAGGAAACCTACGCAGACACGGGGAGAACATGCAAACTCCGCACAGTTGGTTCAAACTTTTCATTTCCATAGAATTATGATTTTACCT